TATTTTTAAAAACACTTATATACATAAAGATAAAATTTCAAGTCAGTCAATACTTTTTCTTTTTGGTCTTTTTTAGACAGGGTCCCCCTGTAATCCCAGCTGGCCTGGAACCCACTATGTAGACTAGGCTGGCCTTAAATGCTAAGAGATCTGCCTGCCTCTGCCTCTGGAGTGCTGGGATTAAAGGCGTGCGCCACCATGCCTTGGTCTTCTTTAAAATATATTTTATTATTTTAATTTTATGTGTGTGAGTGTATTGCCTGCATGTAAGTGTGTGCACCCATGTTGTGCAGTGCCGCGGAGGTCAGAAGAGGGTGTCGGGTTCCCCTGGAACTGGAGTCAAGGACAGTTTATAGCTCTCATGTGGGTGCTGGGAATCAAACCGGTGTCTTCTGCAAGAGCAGTTAGTGCTCTTAACTGCTGAGCCATCTCTTCAGCCCCGTCTTTTTGGTCTTTAGAGACAGGGTCTCCCTGTACCCCCTGGCATGTGGGTGGACATCACAGGACAACTTGTAAATAGTCAGTTTTCTCTTTCCACCATTTGTGTCCCAGGGATCAAACTTGGGTTCTCAGGCTTGGGGTGGCAAGTGCCTTTACCCACTGAGCCTCTGTCTCACCAGCTCTTTTCATTGTTGCTTTTTGTTTTCAGATGAAGTTTTACTCTGTTACCCAGGATAGCCTAGAACTCCATGTGTAGCCAAGGCTGACCTCTAATTCTCAGACCTCCTCCTTTAGTGTCCCAAGTGTGTACCATATCTGGCCTCATATTATGGTTTTATTACATTTAAAATTTTTTTATTGATTGATTGGAGTCCCACATATTTTAGTTTTAATTTCCATTCCCTGCTGATTAATGAATAACAGCACATTTTTGTGTGTTTTTTTTAGGCATTTGGATATTTGTGTATGAAATCTGTACTTATATTTATATGTTTATATTTTTATTCGGTTGCTTGATTTTGATTTTTTTTAAATTTTATTTTGTTTTTTGCCTTTTTGAGACAGGGTCTCCCTGTAGCCACAGCTGGCCTGGATTCAGTCTGGAGACCAGGCTGGCCTTGAACTCACAGAGATCTGCCTGCCTCTGCCTCCCAAGTGCTAGGACCAAAGGTATGCACTGCCATGCCTGGCTCTTTTTTTATTTATTTTGATTTATTTTAAATATTTTATTTATTATTTTTATTTTATGTGTATGAGTATATTGCCTGCATGTATGTGAATGCACCTGTGTCCTGCAATGCTGCAGAGATCAGAAGAGGGCTTTGGATTCCCCTGGAACTGGAGTTAGGGACAGTTTGTAGCCACCATGTGGGTTCTGAGAATCGAACCCAAGTCCTCTGCAAGAGCAGTCGGTGTTCTTAACCGAGGAGCCATCTCTCCAGCCCCTATTTATTTTTTAATATTTCATTTATTATTTTCATTTTATGTGTATGCATGTATTGCCTGTGTGTAGGTAAGTGTACCCATTTCATGCCATGCCTGAGGAGGACAGAAGAGAATGTTGAATCCTCTGGAACTGGAGTTATGGACAGTTGTTAGCTGCCATGTGGGTGCTGAGATTCAAACCCAGGTCTTCTGCAAGTATAAACAGTGTTCTTAACCGCTGAGCCATCTTTCCAGCCCCTTGATTTATTTTACTTTTATTTTATATATTTGTTTGCCTGCAAGCATGTAAATGCATCACATGCGTACAGTGGCCACTGAAGTCAGAAGAGGGCATTGGATTCCCTAGAATGGAGTTACTGAGGGTTGTTAGCTGCCATGTGGGTGCTGGGGACTGAACCCATGTCCTCTGCAAGAGCAGCCAGTGCTCTTAACCACTGAGTCATCTCTCCAGCTCTTCTAACTTAATTTTTGAGACTGGGTCACACACTGACCCTGGAACTCACCAATTCAATGAGATTGGCTGGCCAGTGACCTCCAGGGATCTGTCTTGTCTCTACCTTACCAGTGCTGGGATTACAAGCTTGCTTTTTATGTGATGCTGGGGATCTGAACTTGGGTCCTCTTGTTTGAATGGCAAGTACTTTACCAACTGAACCATCTCCTCAGAAAATTACATATTTCATGTGTATATGTGTGGGGACGGGCATACCACAGCACACTTTTTTTCCCCTAGTGACTTTAGAAATTCTTTTTTGTGGTTCTTTTTTTTTTTTTTAATTTGAAATAAGGTCTCTATATATAATCCAGTCTGATCTTGAACTCAGAATCTTCCTTCATGTTTCCTGAATGTTTGTGATTACAGGTATGTGCCACCCACCTACCTCTGAAATACTTTTTAAAAAATTTTGTCTTTTTTTTCCAGAGCTGAGAAACCCATGGCCTTGTGCTTGCTAAGCAAACATTCTACCACTAAACTAAATCCCCAACCCCTGAAATACTTTTTTAAAAGAATTACATATTATTTATTTATTTTTAAAGATTTTATTTGATTTGATTTGGTCTTTTTTTTTCCAGTCTTTTTGAGACAGGGTCTCCCTGTAGCCCCAGCTGTCCTGGAACTCACTATGTAGACCAGGCTGGCCTTGAACTCTAGAGATCTGCCTGCCTCTGCCTCCTGAGTGCTGGGATTAAAGGTGTGTGCCACCACGCCCGGCCTTTTTTTTTTTTTTTTCCATACAGGGTCTCCCTATAGCTCCAGTTGGCCTGGAACTCAGTATGTAGACCAGGCTGGCCTTGAACTCAGAGATCGCCTGCCTCTGCTGAGTGCTGGGATTAAAGCATGCACCACCATGCCCAGCTGTTTTTATTTTATTTTTAATTATGTGTATGTTAGGTGGGGGTGCGAGTACAGTGCTCAAGGAAACTAGAAGAGATTTGGAATCATAGGTAGTTTGAGGAGCCTGATGTGGGTGCTGGGAACCAAACTCAGGATTATCAGCAAGAGTAGCACCTGCTCTCAGCTGCTGAACCATCCCTCCAGCCCCCATTTTTATTTATTGTGTATGTTGTGGGGATGGGCACACATGTGTCATGCTCGAGCATGGAGGTCAGAGGAAAACTTTCAGGAGTGGGTCCTCTCCTGGAGATTGAACTCAGGTTGTCAAGCTTGGTAGTGAGCACCTTTCCCCACTGATCCATCTCTGGCCCCTGAAGTTCTTTATACATCCCAGCTATCCTATTCTTTGTTAAATAAATGCATTGAAAATAGCCTCTACTTGGAAAATCACCTTTTTCTCTTTTTTTTAATATTTTATTTAATGTGTATGAGTATATTGACTGCATGTGAGTGCACTCGTATTGTGCAGTGCTGCAGAAGTCAGAAGAGACCTTTGGATTCCCCTGGAACTCGAGTTAAGGATGGTTTGCACCCGCCATGTGGGTAGATTAGCAAAAGTTCTTCATTTTGATATAAAATGGTTCATCAAGTTATTCTTTTGGAATTAGCATCTTTTTTTTTTTGGTCTTTTTGAGACAGGATCTCCCCAGCTGACCTGGAACTCGTTGTGTAGACCAGGCTGGCCTCGAATTCACAGATATCTGCCTGGCTCTGCCTCCCCAGTGCTGGGACTAAAGGTGTGTACCACCACACCCGCTGTAATTAGAATCTTTGTGTCTTGTTTAAGAAAGCTGTGTTTGGGACTGGGGCTGGAGAGATGACTCAGGGGTTAAGAGGACCCAGGTTCGATTCCCAGCACCCACATGGTGGCTACGAACTATCCTTAACTCCAGTTCCAGGGGAATCTGAAGCTCTCTTCTGACCTTGGCATTGCATGACACGGGTGCACTTACATACATGCAGGCAATACACTCATACACATAAAATAAAAATAAAATATTTTTTAAAAAAATGTGTCAGCTGGGCATTGTGGTGCAAACCTTTAATCCCAGCATTTGGGAAGCAGAGGCAGGCAGATCTCAGAGTTCAAGGCCAGCCTGGTCTGTCTACATAGCCAGTTCCAGGCCAGCTGGGGCTACAGGGAGACCCTGTCTCAAAAGGCCAAAAAAAAAAAAGGAAAGAAAATTCTGATGCTCCTGCCTCTACCTCTCTCTGTTTATCTTTCTCTGTCTCTGTCTCTCTCTGTCTCTCTCTCTCTGTCTCTCTCTCTCTCTCTCTGTCCCCCCCCTCAAGATTTATTTTTATTGGGCTGGAGAGATGGTTCAGCAGTTGTATGTATTTGTGTTTGTGTGGATGTCTGTGGAGGCCAGAAGAGGAGGTCAGATCCCCTGGGGCTGGAGTTAGCTGATCTTGAGTAGCCTTGCCTGGGTACTAAAACAGAACTCAGGTCCTCTGCAAGAGCTCTGAAAGAGCAACTAGCATTCATAACTGCTAAGGCATCTCTCCAGCCCCATCCACCAACCCCTGATTGGCCTCAGTTAGAGGATAGGTCAGTGGTTTCTTAGAGGTCCTACCTAGACCAGGCTGACCTCAAACTCACAGAGATCCACCTGCCTCTACCTCCCAAGTGCTGAGATTAAAGGCATGTGCCACCATGCCTGGCCATTTATCTTGTTCTTTAACCATGATGTTCCTAAGCATTGAAAGTTCAATGTAAGTGGGAGCTAAAGAGATACTCAGCCATTAAGAACACTTACTGTTCTGCCAGAGGACCTGAGTTTGGATCCCAGCAACCACAGGTGCTAACAATCACCTGTAACTCTAGTTCTAGAGGATCTGATGCCCTCTTCTGGCCTCTGTGGACACTGCACAATACATACATACATTTATATACATGTAGACAAAAACACTCATACACATAAAAAAATGAATTAAAAAATCGATACCATGACCTCACTAAGCCTTCCTAGGAGCTCCATCCCTGATAGCCTTTCTCAGGGTGTGAGCAGCTGTGTGACTTTTAGCATAGTCCCAGGCCTGAAGGAAGTCTTAGGCCTGGTAGCAATGCTTGACGTTTGTCCCCTGCATTAGTCTCCATGAGTTCCTGGCACCAGTTTCCCTGAGGAGTCTCCTGTCCTTCCTAGGCAGTGGTGGCATCTTACTGGCCAGGGTCCTGGGCTGCCTTGGGCATCCCCAGCTTTCTCTTTTACTCCCTCAGACAACACAGGCAGCTCCACATACCGGCCGCCCCCTCGGACCCGGGAGGTGATGATCAACGGGCAGATGGTAAAGTTGAAGTACTGTTTCACCTGTAAGATGTTTCGGCCTCCCCGGACCTCACATTGCAGTGTCTGTGACAACTGTGTGGGTAAGTGGAAAGCCACAGAGATGCCTGAGAAACCACATCTTAGAGACAGGTGGTCACACATGGGGTAAGGTGGGCACTGTCTGAAATATTTAGAGCTGGGCGGGAAATCTGGTTCGTATAGATTTGCTGTGACTAAGGAGAGGCTCTAAGTAAGATTGGTGACATCTCTCAACCCAGGACTGGTATATCCTTTCTCCCTAGCCCTGAGCAGCGGGGCAGACAGAGATCCTGGACTTGTCTCCTGACTTCAGCTTGGTCCTTAGTAGGACCACAATCCTAGGAGACTGGGGCAGTCACATCATAGCAAGGGCATGATCTAAGGAGAAGGTTGGGGAGGGTGAGACTCTGGAGGCTAGCTAAAGAACAGGGACCACCAGAACTGGCTTCTGAACATCCTGGTGTGTTCCCCTCACTCTGTTCCCCAGAGACCAGACAGCTCTCATAAAGATGCAGGATAGTCCCTTGGGAGGGTGTCATAAGGGAGAGTCTAGGTGACAGGTGAGCTGAGCCATGGTGACAGTGCACAGTTCCCAGGGCAGTGAACTCATCATGCCAGCTCAGCACTCCCCGAGCAGGAGAGCAGGGATAGCAGCCAGTGAAGTGGGTGACTCAGTGGGCGTCATTCATCCCTGTGAGTCTGCCCCACCTGCCTTCTGCAGAGACTTGGCATAAGGTCTGCAATGGGCTTGTGATCCAGATTCCCACAGGGACTTTCCTTACCAGTCTGGGTGTGACCCCACCCCCAGGGACTTAGCATTGGTGTGAGCTCAGTCCTCTGCCCTGGCCTCTGGTGCCAGCTCTTCATGAGTTGCCTAGCGGCCTGGCCCCTCCCTGAGCCTTAGTCTTAGAGCTGTTGGCATGTGGCTAGGTAGCAAATCTGGGAGAAGTACTGTTTGTGGGGCTTTATGCCAGGCACTGTGTTGGACCTTGGGAATTCCACAGGGTTTGAGGTTACCACACGCCTCTCACGGAGTTAACGATGAAGTATGAGGGTCGTTGCCTAGTTATGAATAAGTATGTCCACATGCATGGGCTAAGTAGTACAAAAGAGCAACAGGGCAGATGACAAGGGACCCCTGCCTGGTTTGGGACCAGGAGACTTAAGCAAGTGGCATTGTAGCTGACATCTAAAGGAGGAGTTAGAGTGGAGTAGGAAGAATGGACAGAGACTGTCAGTGACTAGGGCAGCACAGTGGGGACAGGGACGGGACAGGTGAGCAAGGACCAGAGGCAGGGGGAGTATAAGGGATGGGAGTCAGCTGACACAGATTGAGGGGGTGGGGAGACCCTCCAACACCAGTGCTGGTTGGAGACCCGCACTAACCCACCCCTCTTCCCTTTCCAGAACGATTTGACCATCACTGCCCCTGGGTGGGCAACTGTGTTGGGAGACGGAACTACCGCTTCTTTTATGCGTTTATTCTCTCCCTCTCATTCCTGACGGCCTTCATCTTTGCCTGTGTGGTCACCCACCTGACGCTGTGTGAGTTGGGGGGCAACAAGGAGTTGGGGAGGACTGATCAGCAAACTCAACCCTAGCAAGGGGCTGTGGTGACCACCTACTTGATCTGTGTCCTCCTGTTTCTTTCTCCTAGGTTCTCAGGGAGTCAACTTCCTCTCCACTCTGAAGAAGACACCGGCGAGATATCCTTTGCCAGCCAGTCAACCTGGGTGGGAACAGAGGCCCCTTCATGGGGTTGGTCTCCAGATGGAATGGTACAACCCATGTCCGTCCTCCAGACAGTTGCTTCTATACACACCCAGGCTGGAGCCAAAGCTAACTGGGTCATTATGGAGAGGGGCTGGCCAAGAAATCTCAGGTAGCACTGTTCCTGTCTACAGATGCCTGGCAAATAGTGTGGTCCCTTAATTACATTTAATTTATTTATTTTGGCAGGGAGGGGTACACACACGGGCCACAGCACACAAGTGGAATTTAGAAAATAGCTTCAACTATGTGGGTCCTGAGGCTCAAACTCAGGTTGTCAGGCTTGATGACAAGTGCCTTTACCCACTGAGCCATCTTGCCAGCCCGTGTATTCCTTAGGATGCTAAGCTCCCTGGACTGTCGAGACCAAGTCCCTGTGCCTCCTCCATTTCTTCCCCCATCCCCCACCAAGATCTTCACTTGTTCCTAAGGGGCTTTCAACCCCCTCCTGGGTGATCTGCTGAGAAGTGATGATTGAGCCACAGGAGGGTCCCAAAACCTGTCACCTTTTGGGAAATAGCTCCAGGGAAGGATGAGTGAGAAGGGCTGAGTACCAGGGCCAAGGGGCTCCACCCTCCACCCCCACGTATGTCCTTGACTGCCTCACCGTGCTGGAATTGGTGATCTGCTTCTTTTCCATCTGGTCCATCCTGGGCCTCTCAGGGTTTCACACTTACCTCGTCGCCTCCAACCTGACAACTAACGAAGATGTGAGTAAGGATGGGGCAGGGTTGAGGGAGCCTGGGGCGGCCAAGTGCAGTGCTGCCAGTGGACTGCTGGGGAGGTGGAGGAGTCGGGCAGCCAGACTGCCCGGTGCTCATGCCCTGGCCCTGGGAGGCCTGATGTAGGATCCTGGGGTCCCTACATGCTGCTGCTCCTTGCTGCAGGCTCCCGAGTTGCCTTTTTTCACAATCACACTAGACCACTTATGTCTGGCCAGTGTGCTGCTACTTATATAGAGTTCTTTCAGCTCCAGCATCTCTTTAGGGCCTTTCACTCTGCTTGAGGCAGAAGAACTGGGATGGTTATTTTCCACTGTATGACTGAGAGGCATGGGCTAGGCTGGGAAGGAGCAGAGATTGGGGCCTAGAAGTCTTGGCCATTTTTTCTCTACCACATCATACCTGGAGACAGCGGAGCCGTGACTGGGCTCCAGAGGTGTCTGTATTGAGAGGCTCTGTTGACCCTTCCCACCTACTCACTTGCAAGCCACCAACCCGCTAGCATTGTCTGAGTGCCCACTGCCTCTAATCCTGAGCCAGACCTGACCTTCCCTCACTATCCTCCAAACCATAAACAGAAAACAGTAGTATGTGTTCTCAAGCCTGTTGCATGTCATGGATCATGACCCATCGTCCACAGAAAATAGATTCATTCTAGGCTAAGCATGGTGGTGCATACCTGTAATCCCAGCACTTAGGAGACTGAGGCAGGAGGATCCTTAGTTCAAAACTAGTCTAGGCTATGTGAAGAAAAACTGACTTGACTTTTTTCTTTTTTCTTTTTGAGATAGGGTCTCCCTGTAGCCCCAGGTGGCGTGGAACTCACTATGTAGACCAGGCTGGCTTTGATCTGCCAAGTGCTGGGACTAAAGGTGTGCACAACCATGCCTGGCTGGAAAAACTGACTTAAAAAAAATAGAAATGGCCGGGCACGGTGGTGCCTGCCTTTAATCCCAGCCTGGTCTACATAGTGAGTTCCAGGACAGCTGGGGCTACAGGGAGACCCTGTCTCAAAAAGACCAAAAAAAAGTAGAAATGAAGAAAATAAAGCTTCTCTAAGTCTGGTGCACAGGCCTGTGAATCCAGCTACTCTGGAGGTTGAGGCAGGAGGATTGCAAATTCAAAACCAACTTGGATAACTTAGTAAGACTTTGTCTGAAGATAAAAAGTAAAAAGAGGGGGCTGGAGCCATAGATCAGTGGTTAAGAGCACTGACTGCTCTTGTAGAGGACCTGGGTTCCATTCCCAGCACCCACATGAGAGCTAACAGCCATCCATAACTACAGTTCCAGGGGCTCCAATGCCACGAGCATTGCATGACATGGGTGTACTTACACGCAGGCAATATATTCTAACACATAGAAATTTTTTTTGTGTGTGTGTGTCTTTTGAGACAGGGTCTCCCTGTAGCCCCAGCTGTCCTGGAACTCACTATGTAGACCAGGCTGGCCTTGAACTCACAGAGATCTGCCTACCTCTGCCTCCCGAGTGCTGGGATTAAAGGCATGCGCCACCATGCCTGGCCAGAATCATTTTTTTTAAAAGTAAAAAGAGGACTGTGGCTGTAGCTCAGTGATAGATCACTTGCTAGTGTGTGAGTCCAAGCCCTGGGTTCCATCCCCAGTACCAAAAAAAAAAAAGCCAGTAGTGGTGATACATACCTGTAATCCCAACATTTAGAAGGTAGAGGCAGGGCTGGAGAGATGACTCAGTGGTTAAGAACACTGGTTGTTCTTGCAGAAGACCTGGGTTTGAATCCCAACACCCACATGGCAGCTAACAACTGTTCATAACTCCAGTCCCAGGGGATCCAACAGCCTCTTCTGCCCTCCATGGGCATTGCACAACACGGGTGCACTTACCTACATGCAGGCAATACATGCACACACGTAAAATTAAAATAAATAAAAATTTTAAAAAAAGGTAGAGGCAGGAAGATCAGGAATTCAAGGTCATCCTTGGCTACATAGAGTTGGGGATCAGCTTGAGATAAAAAATCCTGTCTCTGGTGTAGTTGCACACACCTTTAATCCCAATATTTAGGAGGCAGAGACAGGCAGATCTCTGTGAGTTTGAGGCCAGCCTGTAGTGGGTTTCAGGCCTACCAGGGCTGCATAGTGAGACCCTATCTCAGAAAACAAGAAAAAATCCATGGCCTCTCACCCTCTCATTTGAGGAATCGAAACTGAACACGTATTACCGTATCATGTGCTAGTGACTGGTAAGGGCAAAAGTGACGTCAGCCAGTGTCTCCCAGAGTGGTTTCCTGACTGCTGATTCTGCAGATCTCACTAGAGCTTAAGCAGAAAGGGGTTTGTGGCTCAGTGAGTGTGGAAATCTGGGTTACAGTCAAGTGAGTCTTCATTGCTGAGCCCCCATGCCTTCAGCAGTGGACTTCACAGAGCCAGGTTTCATCTAGTGTTCCAGCAGCGCTTTGGGTCTTTTTGTCTCTACTTTTCAAACGAGGACAGATTCAGAGAAATGATCTGTCCAAGGTCATGTAGCTGAGTGGTGGGGTCAGAGCAGCTCAGCCTGAGTCCTGTGCCCTCAATACTGCCCTGCCTCTTGGGTGGCCCACCCAAAAACCCCTGGAAACTCCCCTTTGGTTCTGTTCTGTCCTAGTTGGGCCTCCTAATCTCTGCTGGAGGATCTCCCTATGTATAGTAGTCCCCAACATGGCATCACTGGATGGCCTGTGCTAAAGACATTCCCTCCAGTAATCGATCCTGAACTGGTTTCAGAATTGGTCAGCTTTCCCTGACCTCTAGATTGTCTCCTGTAAAAGTGAAGCAACAGAATGCCAGGCATGATGGCACACACCTTTAATCCCAGCACTTGGGAGGCAGAGGCAAGCAGATCTCTGTGAGTTTGAGGCCAGCCTGGTCTACGTAGTGAGTTCCAGGCCAGCTGGGGCTACAGGGAGACCCTGTCTCAAAAAGAAGAAAGAGGAGAGAGAGAGAAAGAGAGAGAGAGAAAGAGAACGAACACAGGAGGCAACTGTGATGGGTGTAGCTCCATGGAAGAGGGCTTGCTTACACACAGAAGGGATTGGACATGTAGCTCAGTGGTAAAGTGTGTGCTTAGCCTGCACAAGGCCCTGGCCTCAATCCCTGGCACAGAGAGGGAAGGGGAGGAAGAAAGTAGGTAGTTGACCCAGGTCTCTCCTTCTTTGCAGATCAAAGGCTCGTGGTCCAGCAAGAGGGGTGGTGAAGCCTCTGTCAACCCCTATAGCCATAAAAGTATTATCACTAACTGCTGTGCTGTGCTGTGTGGCCCCCTACCTCCCAGGTAAGAAAGGTCACAGTGGGAGGTGGCCTTGTGATTCTGTACCCCTCATGAAGGTTCTGGACCTCAGCAGACCTACATCTTACACCACTGTCTACCATACCTTGCTAGATACACTCCGAAATTCTGAGGAAGGTGGTCGTTTTTAGTCACATGCCCTTGTTGCAAGAGAAGAAAAAAGTACGACCAGAAATGGTAGCGTGTGCCTATCATCCCAGCACTTGGGAGACTGAAACAGGAGGATTGCTTCATGTTCAAGGCCAGCGTGGGGTACATAGCAAGACTCTACCTCAAAGGAAAAAAGTACAAGATGTTAGAGAGCATTGGGTATCCTGTGTAATCCTCTTCTCAGAGATACCACGGTGACTGTTGTGGCCCTGCTTGGGTGACGTGCCCTTCCTGCCACAGATCTCTGCACAGGGTTGGGTGACTGCAGTGTCCTGGCTGATGGGAAATCTGTGGCTCATTCCTGCTGGGAAGCTCCCTGTCTATCCTGACAGCAGGGGGCACCAGAGCTCCAGAACCAGAACAGGAGTTAAATTGCTGTGGGCACTGCTGGACAAGGCCTTCCCACACAGTTGTGTCCTACCTGGGAGACAGGACACTAGGCCTCTCCCTGTCTCAGAGCCTGTTCTCGATTTCCCCTCACTTGCAGCCAGACAGCTGGCTCAGTTTGAATTAACAGTGACTAAGCTTGGGAGGTAGAGTCAGGAGGGTCAGAAAGTCCTACATATGAGTGCAAGGCTACTTGAAATCCCACCTCAAAGAAACAAATACAGGACTGGAAAGATGGCTAGTGGTTAAGAGTACTGCTGTATCAGAGGACCTGAGTTTCCATCCCAGCACCCACATCAGGTAGTTCACAAACACCTGTAACTCCAGCTCCAAGAGACCCAATACCTTCTTCTAGCCTCCATGGATACTTGTACACACACATGCACATGCACACACATGCATGCACAAATAAAAATAGAATAAATCTTTAAAAATGAACATCTGGAGTCAGGCGTGGTGGCACACGCCTTTAATCCCAGCACTCAGGAGGCAGAGGCAGGCGGATCTTTGTGAGTTCAAGGCCACCCTGGTCTACGTAGTGAATTGCAGGACAGCTGGGGCTACAGGGAGTCCCTGTCTCAAAAAGACCAAAAAAATAATAATAATAATAATAATGAACATCTTGGAATGGTGGCACACACCTATAATCCCAGCACTCAAGAGGCAAGTGGATCTTTGAGTTCCAGGCTAGCCTGTAACTCCAGGCCAGGTGGGGTACCCAGTGAAATCCTGATCCTGCCTCAAAAACAGAAAAAACAAACAAAAATTACCTATAAATTATATGGTGAAAACCAGAGCAGCAAAGGCAAAAAGGCAGAGAGAGGACCTTCCAAGGAGAGGGTTTGTTTGCTTGGTTGGGTTTTTTGTTTGTTTGGGGGGGTTTTTTGTCTTTTTTTTTTTTTTTTTTTTTTTAATGTGTATGAGTATGTTTCCTACATGTGTATAAGTGCACTCTGTTGTGCAGTGCCCATGGAGGTCAGAAGAGGGAGTAGGATCCCCTGGAATTGGAGTTACAGATGGTTGTTAGCTGCCATCTGGGTGCTGGGAATCGAATCTGGGTCCTCTTCAAGAGCAGTCGGTATTCTTAACCACTGAGCCATCTCTCCAGCCCTTTTTTTGGTCTTTTCGAGATAAGGTCTCCCTGTAGTCTCAGCTGGCCTAGAGCTCCCTATGTAGACCAGGCTGGCCTTGAACTGACAAGATCCGCCTGCTGGGATTAAGGGCGCGGGGGGGGGGGGGGCACCACACCTGGCTTTTTTTTTATTTAATTACACTTATTTGTGTGTGCCATAGTGTGTATGTGGAGGTCAGAGGACAACTTTCAGAAGTTAGTTCTTTCCTTCCATATGTGGATCCTTAGGACTGAACTCAGCTCATCAAGTTTGGAGGCAAGCACCTTTACCTGATGAGCCATCTCACCAGCCCCACAGCAAGGGTCTTGAGCCCCTGGGTGGAAAGCAGCTCCCTTTTCCCCAGCTTTTCTAAGCCTGGGTCTTTTTGGCCAGGACGTAGACCATGCCATCCAGTCCCTGACCTAGAACATTGGTGTTAGCACAGCCCTCACATGTCCTGTCTTGTTTTGGAAGCCTGATTGACCGGAGGGGATTTGTCCAGTCTGACACCGTGTTGCCCTCACCTATCAGAAGTGACAAGCCCGCCTGTGGAGCCAAGCCAGATGCCAGCATGGTAGGAGGCCACCCCTAAACATGGCTCAGTACTTGCCACCTGCTGACCTGCCTGCCCTCTGAACTCACCTGCTGCTCTCCACACCTGCTGGGGCCCTCCCCATATCATCTGAGGGAGCGGAGCCTCCAAAGACTCCCAAGTCTTCACATTTATTTCCCACCCTGCCTGGCTTTCCCTGAATGGTCCCATAGTTGTACCTTCTGCTTCCCAAATTCAGGTTCCCACAGCCGTGGGCCCTAGGTCTCCCAGCTGATCAGTGGCAGGAGTGAAGGAGAGCCACAGTCTCTGGAGGCCACCAAGGGGACCATGCCAAGTTGCCGCCTGTGCCTGGACAGGCACCATTGAGTGAGGGTATGAACTGAGCCCGAAGCCTTCCAGCTGGAGCCCTGCTTGGGCCCTGCTGAACCAGGGGTCTTGGGAAACAGGACCACAGGCCTCTGGAGAAACACATTGACCAGGGGACAGGACGCTTCCATGGGCTGCTTTGGTTTGGGGGATCCCGCATTTCCTTTCTATGATCATTATTCTTTCTTCTGTTGGGCTTTTTGGTGGGTTTGAGGAGTTTTGATGAAGTTGGCCAATAGGGTAGAGCTGGGTTGCCAGTAGAGCTGGCAGAGGCAGGAGGGTATGGGTAGACTGTCAAGAGGAAGCCAAACCAGCCGGCTAGTCCCTCAGATCCTCAGCTTTGGTAGAGTCCTGGACAGTATTGCAGGAGCAGGGACCTTGCCTTCCCTTGCCCTTGGAGGCTTTCCAAAGGATCCCTACATGTGCCCCCCATCTCTCCCAAGTGGGGTAGGGGTGGATGGGTTAGCCATGCTGGCAATACTTGAAACGGGTTTATTAATGCTAGATATTTTGCACAATTTTATAGATCTCTTTTCTGCATAGACTTTTTTAAATGGAAGGAGTCAGCCACATTACTGTCTGTGTAGTGCCAAGTCAAGGGTTGGTTTTAATAAGTTTATTACAGTAGATCTAGCTGAGAATGAGTGTGGGGTGTGTGTGTGTGTGTGTGTGTGTGTGTGTGTGTGTGTGTGTATGAGCATATTCATGTGTGCTCTTGTACAAATGCAGCTGGCTCCTACATCCCCTTGGGCTGCCCCGTTTCCCCATTCCCCTCAGAAGCAGCCTGAGCCATGGGGACAGAGAGGGTATGCTTTAGTCACAAGAGAATCCTTTTGGGGCTCAACCCCATCTTTTCTTCCTCCATGGGCTTCAGACAGCCAGTGACTAGGAAATCCTAGCCTCCCAGCCCCCAGGTCAGGCTTCAAGCTGTGACCTGCCCAGACAGGCTGAGGATAGGTGTGCTGGGTGGGGTGATGGCTTTGGGGAGCGGTTGCCATCCTCCAAGCCACACCCCCTCCTTGGATTCTGCTCTGAGTATAGACCTCAGTGCCAGGTACTGGAGGACAAGGGGTTTTCTGCTAACTGGGGGATGAAGGGAGCAGGGTAGGCCAGGAGGCAAGTATGTGTTAGCCAGCACATAGTATGCCCTTCCTCTGCGGGGACCTGTAGTTTCTAATCAAAATAGAGTATTGTCCTTCTAGGCATCTCCTTGGCCCTTCAGGTGTGTTGAAGCCCTTGGAATGTGACAGGAAATTACTAGATCTTTCTCTTTACTTGCTCTGAGGGAAGTGGTGGCCATAGAGGTTCCCCAGGAGAAGCAGTGTCTCCCCAGCCTCAGAGCCCTGGGCCATCCTGCAGTGGTCCTTGGAGGGAGAGAGGAAGGGGCTGGAGGATGGCTCCCCCGCCTGCCTTTTATTTAAACCAGTGTTCTTTGTTCCTGCTTGTAATAAAATTTCTGTTTTTTAAGAGCTGATTTGCTTTGTTTTGGATTTTGTTTGCTTTTGTTTTGCTGAGGCTTCAGGGCAGCCCTGGGTTCTTTCAGACAAACTTGGGCCTTTCTTAGGAGACAGAGAGAAGGCAGGCAGCGCAGTGATCTGGCTATGTCTCCCCCTTTGGCTGGAGGTCCTTCTGCTGGAGGCAGAGCAGAGGGAGTTGTGGCTGAGCCACCTGCCCCATCTTTATCCCCTCCCTCCTGTGCATCCAGGACTTGGAGCCACCTGAGTTGTTCTTCCCTGCTAACTTTCCACTCTGATCCCTAGAAAAATACTTGAGACAGTAGGTTCCAGTTCCAGAGCCTCCTGCTCCCCCAGGCAACCAGCATAGGTAGACAGCTCATAACACAGGCCTACCTCTCTGGTATCTTCCCCAGGAGGACACCTGTCAGGACTTTGCCATCTCCTGCACAGCCTAAGGGGAGCTAACAGGCCTCTTTGCAGAGGGTTAGCTGGTAAGACCATATCTCGCCTGTCAGATAGCACTGCCTACTCCTCACACACCATCTCATCGCCATCGCATGCCTCACCAACCCCATGGAGTCCATCCATTTGTCTGATGTGTGGTGTGGTGTGTGTGCTGGTGGTGGCAGGTCCCCAGGGCTCCCCCAAGCAGAAGGCCCTTAGTCCTGTCCCCCAGCTGGACTGAGGAAGTGGCTTTCCACAGAGCAGCTGCCCCTCCAGAAGAGGAAAAGAAGGGTGAGGCTGCTCTGAGGGGCCTGGGCCTGTGCTGTGGTGGCCTGGTATGCAGGATCCTCGTTCACTAACTCCTATGTCCTGCTTTCTGTCCTTGCTGAGCTTTCTGTCACCTGTCCATTTTTTCTCCTTCTTTGTTGGCTTGCTGCCCGAGCCTTGGCTCTGCTCTGGGGGAGAAGCAGGTGCTGTGGTAGCCCTTGACCGTGGCACAGGGCCCCTGCAGGCCACCTCTCTCCTGCCATCCATCCCGCTAACCCTCTCTCTTCTTCTTTGCCATCCTGCCGGGATCTCCAGTGTGTGCAGGGGCTTAAGGACCTCTTGAGGACCACCGCTCTCTGCCTCTCCAGGAATGGCCTGGGGGGAACCAGGCACCCAGCACCTCCACCTGCCTAACCTGTGGCCCGTCTGCCACCATCTGTGCCTACAGGGTCTGCCCCCCAGCCTGCTCTATGTATGTGCTCTCTAAGACACCCCCCACCCCCACCCCCGCCACAGGGGCAGGGGCTGACCTTTTGCCCTCCACCCCAACTCCTTGCAGGTCAGAGTGTAGAAAGCCATAATGCAGCCTCAGCACAATACTGTAACACTATGCTGAACCTCACCCTCCCCTTCTTCCCCTTCTGCCCCTTCCCCAGATTTGTGAGGTCTCCAAACTCTTCAGGAATCTTGTCTTACAGCCTCCCCCCAGTCAGGCAGAGCCATAGTCAAGCTAAGCAGGTTTCTTCAGGAGCCATCTGGGTGTTGATGACGCTGCTGAACAAGTTTGGTGACTGTTCTAAGCACAACGGGCTGACACTGTTCCCACGCCCCCTTCCCTCCACTAGGTAGGATGTGAGAAGGGAGCCTGTATCCTTGGCCCCAGGTACCCAGGGCTATACAGCCATATGTTCATTCTTCCAAGGATGGGACTGGGCCTGGGAAAGTCAGCTGAACCCAGTGCTGGGTGCTGCTTATCTGCTGTCCTGTCCCTTTTGTAACCGAAATAAAGATCCCCTGTTCTTGCCATAGCCTTGAGTGTGCAGTGCCACTTCCTTTGGGGTCTGTGGTGGGGTCTCGTGGGTATAAAAGAGAACACCTGTTGGCTTCCCTTCTGGCTTTGTTCTAGTTGGGCAATGATGCTCTGGAGACACAAGCTAGGAGGGACATGGGGAAAGTGGCCTCTTGGCTCTACCCCTTCAGAACTCATCTCCACCCCAGAGACCTTCAAGCCTTAGCTGACCTCAGAACTCTGAAAGGCCCTGCCTAGGCCTAGACAGGGAGTTGTACTCCAGTTCAAATGGGCCTCACATTTCTGAACTGAGCCCAACCCAAGGTAGCCCATGGAGCCTCCTCTCTTCTTCAGGTGATGCCCACATGGATCTGTCCTATACTGTATTGTACAGAACTGAGTCCCAGGACTGGGGATGTGGCTCAGTTAGAATTGCCTGCCTAGCGTGGACAAGTCCCTGGGTTCAGTCCCCAGTACCATATAAAACAGGTGTGGTGGTGCATGTCTGTAATCCCAGTACTTGGAAGGTGGAGGCAGGAGCATCAGGAGTTCAAAGTTACCCTCAACTACATAGCGAGTTTGAGGCCAGTCTGAGCCTATTGGATTTGAAAGCTCTTTTCAAAAAAGAAAAAGAGGCCAGACGTGGTACATGCCATCAATCCCATCTCAGAGACAGGTGGATCTCTTGAGGCTAGCCTGGTCTACATAGCTAGTTCCAGGCATTTTGGGGCTACAGAGAGACCTTGTCTCAAAAAGAAAAGTGGAAAGAAAAAAGAAAAGGACTCAGCAGGTAAGGCCGGTGACCATCAAGCCTGATGACCTGAGTTTGATCCCCAAACCCACATAATAGGAGAGAACTGACTCCTGCAAGTTGTCCTCTGATCAATTCTCTCTCTCTCTCTCTCTCTCTCTCTCTCTCTCTCTCTCTCTCTCTCTCCCCGAATAAATACATAAATATAAAAAAAAATTTTTTAAAGACTGAAACAAATCAGGATTTGCCATGTGCTGGTCTACTTTCTCACCTAACCAAAAAAAGTACCATCAGCCTTTTTACAGATGAGAAAACTAAAAGGCTCAGGGAAGGCAGAGCAGCATTATCTCAGCAGAGGAGGGTGAGGTCTTATAGAAGTCCTAAACTTAGAGAATATCATACCTAGGAGGGGGCTGCCAGTCCCTGATAGTGATAGAGAGGCTGAAGCCCAGGGGCAGGAAGGAACCTGCCCAAGGCCTCTTCTAACCAAGCTGGAATGCAGTCCTACATGCTGACCTCACTCTACTCTCTTTCCATAAATTCCACATATCTCATAGTCTGGCTTAGGAGACATGGGGTACTTTGAACAACAGTACCTTACCAGAAAAAGACAGTGAATCACCTGAACATCACCTAGTTAGCCCTTCCCCAAGGCAGCTAGTAGACATTGCTCCCAGTAACACCTAACCAAGAACCCCTTCTGGTCAGCTGTTGAATTTGATCATTCCAAAGACAGAAACGACCTAGGAAATTCCTAGAAAAGAAAAAGGTTTGCCTGCCGGTTGTGATAGATTCTTTCTAGAATCTAATCAGAATCCCTCTTGCTGTAATTAGATGTTCCAAAATGGTGGGCAGAACAGCAGGATGAGGAAAGCCCCCTGGTCTGCAGCCCCAGCTCCTGTCCTACTGACTCAGGCAGCTGCTCAGGCACTCTGTGCTCTGCCAGGGCCTGCTACCTCCTGCTTGCCTGGGCTACTGGACCTGGGAAGTGGCGGCCTGGAGGCAAAGGGAGGCAACTGAGACAGGAACTGAGTCAGGAGCAACAGGCCAGAGCCAGCAGGGGTGTCAGGCAGCCTGGCTTCAGTAGAGGAGGAGGAGTGAGGTGTGCTAAGGGCCTAGAACCTTCCTGTAACCCCTACTAGGCCCCTGGCTTAAGAGGCATGAGGAAAATGTGTCCTTGGATTTAGAAGCTCCAAAATGCCCAGGCCTGCCAGGCCCTGTCTTCCAGGCTTCTGGGATCCTGGGATCTCCAGGTCTCCCCAGGCCTTGGGGAAGCCCAGGCTAGATGACTAGTGCCAAGGAAGGCCCTTGAGGGCTGGAAAGTCCAGGACCTATGTAAAACAGAGGAATATTCTAGATGGGAAGGGAAGAATTCGTACTCACTACATCTGACCATTTGTCTATCTGGAGAAGGAACACTGCAGGCAGGGGGCCACCTTCTCCCCTGTGGATACCGGACTGGGCAACAGGGTCTGGCAAGTTTGTGGTCTTCTCTCATTTCATAAAACCCAGCCATGGCCAGGTGTGGTGATGCATGCCTTTAATCCCAGCACTTGGGAGGCAGAGACAGGCGGATCTTTGTGAGTTCAAGGCCAACCTGGTCTACATAGTGAGTTCCAGGACAGCTGGGGCGACAAGGAGACCCCTCAAAAAAAAAAAGACAGAAACCCCCAGCTTTAAGGGGGGAGGGTGGTGGCTGAGGATGCAGCTCAGTTGGTAGAGTGCTTGCTTAACATCATGAACCCTGGGTGCCATCCCTACATAAACCAGGCATGGTTGCTCATACCTGTGATAGAGTTCAAGGTCATCCTTGGGTACATAGTTTGAGGTCAGCCTTGGATACATAAGACCCTGTCTCAAGAAAAAAGGGGAGGACAGGGTGGGGTGCTAGAGAGATGGCTCCGCAGTTAAGACTATTTACTGCTCTTCCAAAGGACCCAAGTTTGGTTTCCAGCAACCACATTGGGCACCTCAAAACCACCTGTAACTCCAGTTCCAAGGGGATCTGACACCCTCTTCTGGCTTCCTCAGACACCCCCACACATAGCATACCCACACAGGCCCATATGCATACACATAAATTTTTTAAATGTATTTTTTTTTTCCTTTATGACTTTTTTGCCTACATATATGTAAGTGCACCTGTGTCATGCATTTGCCTATGGAGGCCAGAAGGTACTGGATCCCCTGAAACTGGAGTTAAGGACAATGGTTGTGAGTCACTGTGGGTGCTGGGAACTGAACCTGGGTCCTCTGCAAGAGCAACCAGTACTCTTAACCCCTGAGCCATCTCTCCAGCCCCTGATTGGTTTGTTTTTTTTTAAACATAGTAATAGTTACTATCCATTCTACTCGGTGTTTCCCAATAACTAATTTAATCCTCATAAGCCTCATTTTATACCTTAAGAGCTGAAACTCACAAAGGTTTTCACTAAGACAAAAGCTTGTAAGGTGTGGTGGCAGCATAACTTTAATTCCAGTATTCCTGAGGCAGAGGCAGGCAGATCTCTGAGTTAAAGGCCAGCCTGGCCTACCTATCAAATGGGATTAAAGGCATGCGCCACCACGCCTGGCTGAGACCCTGTTTTTTTAAAAAAAAGAATTGAGTTGGGTGTGGTGGCATACATTAGTTCCAGCACTTGGAAGGCAGAGGCAGGCGGATCTCTGTGAGTTCAAGGCCAGCCTGGTCTACATAGTGAGTTCCAGGACAGCTGGGGCTACAGAGAGACCCTGTCTCAAAAAGACCAAAAAAAAAAAAAAAAAAAAAAAAAAAAAAATTGAACTTAGAGGGCTAGAGGTTTAGGTCAAGTGGAAGAGGCCTTGCCTAGCATGCTTAAGGCACTGGCTTTGATCCTTCGCACCAAAACAGGAGAAAGAGGAAGAGGAAGAAGAGGAGGAGGAGGAGGCAGGCGTGGGGAAGAAGAGGGAGAAAAATGTTCCTGTGTTAGTACATGTCTCTAAACCCAGCACTCAGGAAGCTGAGACAGAAGAATTTTGAGTTCAAGGTTTTTAGTGAGACTCTGTTTCAAAAAGAAAAATATGTATATTTTTAATGAGACAGGTAGCCTAGTGTCTTGCAGTTAGATAGCCTGTGTTAATTTTTCTTTTCTATCCAGGCATGGTGGTACATGCCTTTGATCCCAGCACTCGGGAGGCAGAGGCAGGAGGATCTTTGTGAGACTGATGCCAGCTTGACTGCTGGTCTCCACATTCAGTGTACACATATGTGCATATGCACATGCACACATGCTTACACACATGTTCATACACACACACAAAATACTTTCTAAATATAAATATGGGTCTCCCTTAATAATTGGAGAAAATAAAAAAAGAAAGTCTTAGGATCCTACTACCATCTCTCCAGCCCTCCCCCTTTTTTTTTTTGAGACAGGATCTCACTATGTAGCCCTGGCTGGCCTGGAACTCACAGACCAGGCTGGCCTTGAACTCACAAGACATCTATCTGTTTGCCTCTGCCTCCCAAGTGCTGGGATTAAAATGTACCACCACACCCTGCCTGTTTTGTTTTTTTTTTTTTTTTTGAGACAGGGTTTCACACAATAGCCTAGGCTACCCTAGGACTTTATATGTACCCCAGGCAGGTTCTTACAGCAATCCACCTGCTCAGCCTCTCAAGTGCTATGGTAATGTTTGTCTCAACCAACTTTGTGATTTTTATCAATGGGTGACAATTCTGATGTATCTCCAGACTGTACAAGTCTTGACACAGCATTAGAGAAAAACAGATAGTAACTTAAACAGCAGGCTTCAGGAAATACCAACCATTATTTTGCCCATTTATGTCTATAGAGAAGCATAAATGCAATTCAAAATCTTTGTTTGTTTGACAGGATCTCTTGTATCCCGGGCTGGCCTCCAACTCCATACATAGCTGAGATGGTCTTGAACTTCTGATCCTCTGGCCTCTACCTCAAAAGTGTTGGGATTACAGGTGTGTGCCCACTTATGCAGTGCTGAGGATCAAACTCAAGGCTTTGTGCATGCTGGGTAAACACTCTACCAACTAAACTACATTCCTGACCTCTTATTTTGGTCTTTTGAGACAAGATCTTCCTTTGTAGCTAAGCTGGACTTCAGATGGTGTGCCTGCTGCCTCAGCCTCCTGAGTGCTGGGACTGGACTGTAGGTGTGCACTGCCTTAAATTGGCATTTTCGTGAAGTTTCTGTCCTTTTCTGTGCCAGTGCTCTTATTTAAGCAAAGCTTTTGGGATCTCAGGTCTAAGATTTCTTCTACTTCCTAGGAAATCCCATAGCATTAGTCCAGACATGTTGGTACTTTTCGTTGTAGCACAAGCAGATGTCTTAGTCTTTAGAGCCCTGGACTAAGCCTCCCTCCAGGAGGGCAGGGTGAATACTCAGACACCTGGGGGAAAACAGGCAAGTCTGGCTCAAAGATGAAATTTTCTCTGGCTGGGTCCCAGAGAAGGGGTGTCAGCCCTGAGCCCCCATCTGAGTTTTGGTGAGGGTGGGGCAGATAAGCAGGAACCCACCCTTGTGGGCTCAGTGCCAATAGTCATAGGTGATACTCCTGGCGAAACTTGAAGACAGGGTCCAACCGAGACAGGAGCAGACAGTTGGGAACAGAGAGGTCTCTGTCTCTGAAGAGGCTTCTATCCGGGGTCAGAAGTGGGGTCAAAGAGAAGGGACTGAGAAACCCCTGGGAGACAAGCTGGGGGGAGATATTGCTCAGCCGGAATTGCTGCTCCATAAAACAAAATGGTATGTGTCATTATCAGCTCCTTTTCTTCAACCCTGTCTTTCTCCCCTGGTTGCTAGCGTCCCCCCTAGGGGACCAAACTGGACTGAGCACCCAGGTGGCCTGCTTCCTAGCCTCTGACAGAGGGCAATCTGAGTCAGGCAGGAAAGTGGGACAGTCAAAGGGCTGGGTCCCTGCCCTCTTTGAGCCCTGCTGATACATGATGGCAGGCAGCTTGGAGGGGGCAGGTGACCCGTGTAGAGAACCAGAGAGTAAGGTCTCAGACAAGTGGCAACAGGCCACCAACTTGAAAGGGAAAATTGTGCTGTAATGGGGAAGGTGTCCAACAAACCTATTGGATGACTAATTACAAAGGCTGGGCTGGAGCGTCAGAGGCTGCTTGTTAAACACTTCATTAAGTGGCACCCTGAAAGCTACCACCTGCGCATTCTGGGTGCTCAGAGGGGACCTTGAGGGAGAATGAGGACCAAGGGAAGTCTTGGGAATGTCTTCAGACAGACTCGGGAAGAAGCCTGGTTCTCACTTTAGGTATAGGCTGCGGCTGCCAGGTCAGAGGCCTCAATTTAAGACAAGCCAAAAGAAACCGTGTACTGAGGAGGAGTTTTTATGGAGCTGGCAGCAGTGTGTCTTTGAACAGTCTCACCCCCTAAGACTGTTTCCATCTCTACAGTCCCCCAGAGCTCACAGAGGTATCCAGGGAATTACATCAGATCATGGATGTCAAAGTGCCTGGGAAACTGCACGGTCTACCTACACATGCGATACCTCACCTGAACCCATCCCATCCTCCGTCCCTCCCCTCCAATTCACCTAGGCTAAAGTAGCTGGGTACCCTGAAGCCATCCTCACCCTTGCAAGGACTCTGTGAAAGAGGATCTCATTTGAGAATCCAGGGCAGGTCCCTGAACCAGTGCACCCCTGCAATGCAGTCCTGAACGGCAAGGGGGCAGCCTGGAGCCTAAAAGGTGCCTGGGCAGGTGGGGCCCACGCCCAGGTTTCTCCTGCTGACTGTCCTGATGACTCACCCTAACATCCCAGCCCTTTTACCTTTAAGGAAGAGCCGGAAAGGGTGCGGGAAGAAGGGGCAGGTCCTAGGCCCTAGGCCCGCCCCTGCCCCTCCCGGTCCTTCTTTGGGCCATGCCACCCAGCCAAAAGGCAGACCCAGAGCAAGAGAGGCACAGAATCCGGCATTGGTCTCGAGGCAGCCAGTTCGCCCGCCTGTCTGTCCGTCCCCAGAATCATGGAGAGAGCCAGTCTGATCCAGAAGGCCAAGTTGGCAGAACAGGCAGAACGCTATGAGGACATGGCAGCCTTCATGAAGGGCGCCGTAGAAAAGGGTGAGGAGCTCTCCTGCGAAGAGAGGAACCTGCTTTCTGTGGCCTACAAGAACGTGGTAGGAGGCCAGAGGGCGGCCTGGAGGGTCCTGTCCAGCATTGAGCAGAAGAGCAATGAGGAGGGATCGGAAGAGAAGGGGCCCGAGGTGAAAGAGTACCGGGAGAAGGTGGAGACTGAGCTCCGAGGTGTGTGTGACACGGTGCTGGGCCTGCTGGACTCTCACCTCATCAAGGATGCTGGAGATGCAGAGAGCCGAGTCTTCTATCTGAAGATGAAGGGCGACTACTACCGCTACCTGGCCGAGGTGGCCACGGCTGATGACAAGAAACGCATCATCGATTCTGCCCGGTCAGCCTACCAGGAGGCTATGGACATCAGCAAGAAGGAGATGCCACCCACCAACCCCATCCGCCTGGGCCTAGCCCTGAACTTTTCCGTCTTCCACTACGAGATAGCCAACAGCCCTGAGGAGGCTATCTCTCTGGCCAAGACCACCTTCGACGAGGCCATGGCTGACCTGCACACCCTCAGCGAGGACTCCTACAAGGACAGCACCCTCATCATGCAGCTGCTGAGAGACAACCTGACGCTCTGGACAGCAGACAATGCCGGGGAAGAGGGCGGAGAGGCTCCAGAGGAGCCCCAGAGCTGAGCCGGCCTGCTACCTGCCTGCCCCGCCTCGCCCTCCAGTCCCCAGCCTTGCAGAGAGGACTAGTATCGGGTGGGACCCGGGCCTTTCCACACCGTTCCTGAATGCTCTGCTCAAAAAGGCTCCTTGGAAGGGGTGCAGTCCAGCTGAGGCCACCAGGGGCCGGGGTTGGTGGGTGTTCCTAACCCTGCCCAGCCCTGCTCTCTGCACCCCTTTCCTCCCCACCCCACTCAACCTGGCCACTTCTCCCCGTGCATCCCTCTTGCACCTGGATGTTTCTTGATCTTCAGAATGGAATGTCCCACCCCTGTGGCTGAGAACTGGACTGTGGCAGAAGCTGTGTGTGTGTGTGTGTGTGTGTGTGTGTGTGTGTGTATGTGTGTGTGTGTGAGAGAGAGAGACTGTGAGAGGAGAAGGAACACGTTTGCTGGGTGTGACCATGGTTCCTCTCTATAATAAAAGTTGCCCTGTGACACTCCGGTCTTCTCCAGTTTATTGGCCATGGGGTCGGGGAGGGGGGGTAGAAAGATGATTTAGAGACCTTAACTGTGAACTCTGAGTTAGGGCCTTCACTTCCGCTGGGTGACTCAGGGGTGGGTGACTCGGGTGAGAAGCCTGGGTTCATGTCTCCATGGGGGTGGGAGGGTTCGAGTAAAGTGAGTGCAAAGGCAGCGCAGTCCCCTCTAAGGACAGGTGAATAGGGTGCTCTGGGCCGGGAAGCTGAGAAGCTCGGATGTGGGGGGGGGGCAGTGACGTTTCAGGGGCGAAGTCTAAGCGTAGCGTGGGAGGAACACGTTTTAGGAGGGGCATTGAGCACCCCAGGCTGGTGCTCAGCTCTGAGCCGAGGGGTGCGCCCTCTGAAGCAGGGGCACGGTGCCTCCACTAAATTCCCAGATCTAACAGAAAGTCCCTCAAGTTCCATCGTTCCCAGGTGGGGATAATGGCGAAGAGCCGGCGCGAGCTGGGCGGGAAGGGGACGGGGAGTACAGCAGGCCCGGCCAGCTGCCCCGCGCAGTGCAGGCTGCAACACGCAGGCCCCGCGGCCGCCTTAGAGGCGGGCCCAGGTGGCTCCCGACCAATCAGAGGAGGGAGTCTCCTAGGCTGCCGCCCCCTAGCGCCGACTAGCCAATGGGAGAGTGAGTGTTTGCGCCTCCGGCTCCCCGCGCCCGCCACACCGCCACCCGCGGAGCGTAGAGGGGAGGCGCCTTCCCGGTTTCGCTAGGACAAGTTGCCACCGGCCGGAGCCGAAAGGTTGGCTCCTCTGGAGCAGCGGGACAGGGAGGGGCCGTGCGCAAAATTTAGGCTCCGCCCTTTGAGTCATCTGCTCACCTGGGGACCGAGCCAGGCCCGCGGCAAAGTCGGCTGGGACAAGGCCAGCGAGACGCCCCCCCCTCCCCCGCACCGTCCATCTGCGGTAGCCCCAGCTTGTCTCCAGAAGGATCGGGTTGTGTCCCTGACTGGTTCTGCAACCTGGAAATGAAATTCCATTATACCTCCCCGGGCCTCAGTTTATCTTCGGTAACGCAAAATGTTCAAACTAAAAGCTCTCCAGTTAAGAAGAATGAAAATTGGAGGCTCTGGAGTCAAACTTCTTGGGTTTAACACCCAGGCTGCCTGGCTCCAGGCCGTTAACCTTTCGGTCCTTCTTTGCAAAAGGTTAGGATGGGGGGTTTAAGAAGCTCCTTTTTATTATTATTAATGTTACTTGGTGTGTGGGTGGGTGCGTATGTGTCAGAACATGCATGTGGAAGTCAGAGGATAACTGGAATCGGTTCCCTTTCCCCCTTTATGTGGGTTGTGGGGCTCGAACTCAGGTCACTAAGTCATCAGGGCTGACTTGGTAACAACATATGCCTGTAATTCCAGATCTTGGGAAGTGGAGACAGAAGGAATAAGAATTCTAGGTTGCCACGCCTTTAATTCCAGGACTTGGGAAGCCAGCCTAGTCTGGCTTGGTCATACCAAGTTTCAGGCCATCTGGGGCTACAAGGGAGACCTCCTCTCAAAAAAACAACAAAGAATTCTGGGTCATCCTCTGCTACATAGTGAGTTAGAGGCCAGCTTTGGCTACATGAGATCCAATCTCAAAACCCAACTGAGGGTCTGGAGAGATGGCTTAGTGGTTAAGAGCATTGGCTGTTCTTGCAGAGGACCCGGGTTCGAATCTCAGCATCCACATGGCAGCTAACAACTGTCCGTAACTCCAGTTCCAGGGGATCCAACAGCCTCTTCTGTCCTCCATGGGCATTTCAGACATGGGTGCACTTACCTACAGGCAGGCAATACACGCATACACATAGAATAAAACAAAATAAAAATAATAATTAAAAAATAAAAAATCGGCAGTACTAAGTAGTCCATGGTACATGTTCAACTCCTGTTAAATCTTCCAGGAGACTGAGGTCTGGCTTAGCATGCCCAAGGACCCACTTCATTTCCAGCACTGAAAAAAGAATAAAGCAATCAAGCAAAAAACTCTCCCAAATGTTACTTAATCAGTAATTCAGCCTACCAGCTAGCATCATTCTGTTTGGAATTTCTCCATATTTCTTTCTTTCTTTTTTTTTTTTGTTTTTTTGTTTTTTTGTTTTTTGAGACAGTGTCTCCCTGTAGCCCCAGCTGTCCTGGAACTCACTATGTAGACCAGGCTGGCCTTGAACTTACAGAGATCTGCCTGCTTCTGCCTCCCCAGTGCTGGGACTACAGGCATGTGCCACCATGCCCGGCTTTCTTTCTCTTTTTTTAAAAAGTATTTTATTTATATTTTTTTACTTTATGCATGTACGTCAGAGTACCCCTGTGTTATGCAATTCCTGAAGACAACAGAAGAGGGTGTAGAATCCCCTGGAACTGTAGTTATGGACAGTTGTTAGCTGCCACCTGGGTGCTGGGATTTGAACCTGGTCTTCTGTAAGAACAGCCAGTGCTCTTAACTGCTGAGCCAGCCCCAGCATTTCTTTTTATAAAAATGTTTTATTGCCAGGCATGGTGTCACATGCCTTTAATCCCAGCACTTGGGAGGTAGAGGCAGGCAGATCTCTGTATCTACCTGGTGAGGTCCAGGACAGCTGGGGCTACAGGGAGAACCTGCCTCAAAAAGGGGGGGAAAAAAAAAAAAAGAAAAAAAGCTTTCTTTTTCTTTTTTATATTTTATCTGTATGAGTATATTGCCTGCACATATGTAAGTGTACCTGTGCACCTGTGTCAGATCCCCTGGAACTGGAGTTACAGATGGTTCTTAGCTGCCATGTGGATGCTGGGAACTGAACCCAGATCTTCTGCAAGAGCAGCCTGTGCTTTAACCACTGAGCCATCTCTCTGGCCCTTCTTCCTCCAGCATTTCTGAGCTCAGGGCAGCATAACCAATAATTGAACTGTGGAAGTTGACCCTGGCTCACTGGGCCACCTAAGAGGGCAGGCTTGACAGCAAAAGACCTCCCAGGAGAATTGAGAGAACTCGGCCCAGTCTGAGTTCCCCAGAGCACAAGTTTGACCACACCGAATGGGACTCAGCTCTTGTCAGGGCTCCTAATTCTCCAGGGAAGCTGCAGGACCTCTTTAGAACTTTCCAGATGCTCTGTTTTCTCACTTCCTGCTGGCATGCTGGGTTTCAAGGTTCCAAACCCAGAGACTCTAGGGTAGAGCAGGTAACTCCCCTCAGCTCTGGAAGTGACCTGGTTTCTCTCCACTAGACAGGTCTGGTGACTTTCTCTTAATGGGGTAGGTCCTGGGAATAGGAACTTCTTTCTTTTTTCTCAGACTGTGACTTTGTGTGTTAGCTCCAGACCAGATTGCTCATGGTTGCCCTATATTGAAGAAATGAACTGCTCTAAGGTAGTATGTTGGTACTCAAGGATTTAAAAGCAGATGCCATGCACTGAGGATCATCAAATCTGATGTTTATTAGCACTAGATGTTAACTCTCCGAGGCACCAGCTTCTCACCACAGTCGATCCAAACCTTTTTGTCTATGCATGTTAAAAAAAAATTATTCTTTGCTCTGGAAATTATTATTGAATGTGTTAAAGCTATAATGAAATGCTTCTAAAAAATAAAAAAAAAATTAAAATATATAATTTGCCAGAAAAAAAAAGACTAGAAACATTTAAAGATTAATTTTCAGCCGGGCGTGGTGGCGCACGCTTTTTATACCAGCACTTGGGAGGCAGAGGCAGGTGGATCTCTGTGAGTTCAAGGCCAGTCTGGTCTACATAGTGAGTTCCAGGACAGGGGCTACAGGGAGACCCTGTCTCAAAAAGACCGAAAAAAAAAAATTATGCCCATCTTTTCCTGGTCTAGATTTGACATTTAAAAATTTTCCAACCTGGGTTGGAGATATGGTTTAGCTGTTAAAAGCACTTCCAGGGGCTCTTCCAGAAGACCAGAGTTCAGTTCCTAGCACCCAGTTTGGTTACCAGCACCCATGTTGGGTGGTCTACAACCACCTGTAATTCCAGCTGCAGGAAATCCAGTGCCTTCCTTTGGCCTTGTGCTGGATAGCTTTAGTGTCAACTTGACACACCTGGGTTGAGGGAGCCTCAATCGGAAAATTGCCTCTATTGGACTGGCCTGTGGCCATGTCTGAAGGGCATCTTCTTGATGAGTGATGTGAGAGGGCCCAGCCCACTGTGGGTGGTGCCACCCCTGGGCAGGTGGGCCTGTGTTGCATAAGAAAGCAGGCTGAGCAGGGGCCAGGAGAGCAAGCCTGTAAGCAGCGTTCCTCCATGGCCTGTGCTCCAGCTTCTGCTTCCAGGTTCCTGCCCTGAGTTCCTACCTTGGGCTCCCTGATGAACTGCGTGCGACCTGGGAGATGTACGACAAATAAACCCTTTCCTCCCCAAGTTGGTACTGGTCAGAGTGTTTCATCACAGCAATGAAGAACAGACTAGGACAGGCCTCCACAGGCACCACATATAAATATACATAATATAAAGAAAGAAAGAAAGAAAAAAAATTTTTGAGGCAGGGTCTTCCTGTAGCCCCAGCTATCCTAGAACTTGCTATGTACACCAGACTAGCCTCCATCTCACAGAGATCCACCTGCCTCAGCTTCCCAAGTGCTGAGATTAAAGGTGTAAGCTACCATGCTCAGCAAAAAGAAATCTTAAAATTTTCAGTCCCTGGGGCTACAGAGATGGCTCAGCGGTTGAGAGCACTGGCTGCTCCTGTAGAAAACTGGGATTTGAATCCTAGCCCACATGGTGACTAACAACCATCTATAACTCCATTTTCAGGGGATCTGAGACCCTTTTCTGTCCTCTGCGGGCATTGCACAACATGGGTGCACCTACATACATGTAGGCATAATACTCATACACATAAAGTAAATTAAGCCTTTAGTCCCAGCACTCAAGAGGCAGAGGCAAGCCAATTTCTGTGAGTTCAAGGCCAGCCTGGTCTATTTAGTGAGTTCCAGGCCAGCAGGGCTACAGGAGATGCTCTCTCAAAAAGACCAAATAATAATAA